CACACACGCATACGCACACACACACATACGCACGCATGCACACACACGCACGCATGCATGCACGCACGCATGCACACACACACAGTCAAGCGAATCGAACCATTTGCTCATTGTCCTGCAGATGATGAGGTTGTCGTGTTTGCCAAAGAGAGACATGGCTGTCTCATCACAAAAGTCAGCATACGCCTCATCCACGATGATCAGGCAGTCCTCCTGACAAGTGCCCGCGAAGACATGACGCGCAACGTGCAGAGCATAAGTTTGAAGAACAAGCAACTCCAGCTATGCGCACACCGCATTCACAACATCACACACACACAGACACAGACACAGACACAGACACACAGACACAGACACAGACAGACAGACAGACAGACAGACAGACAGACACAGACACACACACACAGACACAGACACACAAACACAGGCAGACAGACACACCATCTTACACACAACGTATACAACGCACACGGACCTGAGCGAGCGTCTCAACGTCTGCATTTGGGAGCAGCGTCCCTGTGGGGTTGTTTGGTGACGCCAAGAACGCAATCTTGGCCTAGAAGCGAGGTGACAGCCAACGTGTTGTTGTTGAGTGAGCTCAAGCACGCAACAACAAACTCGCACACATGCACACACGAATGCACACGCAGATACAAAAACAAACACTTCACGGGAACGCGAGCGTGCGGTTGTGTGCATGTGTTCAGAGGACGTACGCCGTTGTCGCGAATGGCCTGACGAACAGCATCGACATCGACAGTAAAGTCATCATTGCGGGGAACGTTGATCACGTCCACATTCGCAACGCTGCCAAGGAAGCTGCACAGTGCAATCACAGGCCACGACGTGAGCGGTGATGGGACGGTGAGCGGTGCAGGGGACGATGAAGGGTGCATAAGAATGACACTTACGCACACACACACACGCACACGCACGCACGCACGCACGCACGCAAAAAAAAAAATACAGACACACAGATACACACAGATACACACACCAGCACACACACGCGCGCACACACACACACCGTACCTGTACATGCCAAAAGTGGGCGTGCTGGTGACAATGGCCTTGGGATTGACCATGCGAATGATAATGTCAAGGAGATCATCAGAGCCCGCACCGCAGCACACGTTTTCCGGAGTCACGCCTGCGTATGATTGGTTGTTTTGGTCAAGGGTGGCTGGGTGTCAGGGGATTGCAAAGGGCGAAAAGATGAAACGTGCGCGAAGTGAGATGACCAACGAACGTCACTAATTGCGCAAACGCAAGTGTGGCCGTCGACTCACCCATCAAGCCGGCGACTGCCTTACGCAGCTTGACTTGTGAAGGGTCCGGGTACACATGGTGCTGCACCTGCAACGCATGAGCACAGTATCCACCCCTGAGCACACAAAATGCAAACAGACACACAGACAACGCAAACTCACACAAACAAACACAACCACAGATAACACACATGTGTGCACAAAACAGCACACCTGAACAAAACCCACAACGTAAGCAAACACACACACGGACACAAGCACACATATACAACACACACACGCAAGCAAGCAAGCAAACACACACACACACACGCACACACGAGGTAACACTGCTGCACCTTTGTGATGGCATCAAGAACTTGCTGTGGTGCGCCGTACACGTTCTCGTTGGCGTTGAGCTGTGATCCGCACGTGTACAACATACCACAAGCACACCACAAGTACACCGGCAAGCACACCGGCAAGCACACCGAAACACCACCAGTGTGTGAGCCCTGTGATACAATGCAATCAGCCAATGCATCACACAAATCGCGCCACTCCATCCAAAGGCATGCTCACACGCCAAAACGTGCCTTGACGAGCTTCTCGACGGGAAGGCCGACCTCCTTGGCAATGGCTTCCACGGTCTCGACGCCCTTGTATGTGGCCTTGGCCAGGTGTGGCGCCACGAACCGGGTGATATCGCTCACGTTGTTGCTGCTCATCGCTGCGATACACGCACAACTTGATGGTGGGCCGGTGGTGAGGTGAGGTGAGGTGAGGTGAGGTGAGGTGAGGCTGCCTTGAACTGGGTGCTTTGCTTGTTATGATGGCTGGAGGATGACGACAGAAAGTGCGCAACAACAAAAGCCAGCAAGCAAGCAGCGGACACTGCAAGTCTTGGCGATCATAGGGTGATATGCCAGAATTTCAGCACACACGCTGCACGCTGCGTGTTGCAGCCAATTTGCTGTTGTTTGTTGTTGTTGTTTAAGTTAGTTGTTGTTGTTGTTGTTGTTGTTGTTGTTGTTGTTGTTGTTGTTGTTTAACAATGTAAGTTGTTGTTGTTTAAGTTGTTGTTGTTGTTGTTGTTGTTGTTGGGTATGCTCAGCAACACCACACCAAAAGACCAAAGGTAGGCTGTGTCTTTACTTGACGTGAGGCCACCACGCCATCATGCAACCTTCGTCAAGTGGTTTCAAAAACAAGCGAACTCATACACCACGCAAACGGAACAACGCACTGTGTAACTATTCACGATCAAACAGAGCAAACAGAGCAAACAATACAATACAATATTCACGTAAGTCTACACTATGCACGACGCACACCAGCCTCCTAAGCTTGTCTCAGCAGGTGCTCTCGCTATTGCTGTTGTCCTCCTCGTCACAGCAATCGCCAGTGGTATCACCAGGCTCCTCCTCCACTACACCAACACCATCACCGCCCATAGCCTCCAGCTCGGCAGCGGCAGCAGCAGCCTTCATCTTCTTGTAAGCGGTGAACTTGACGGATGACGTTCGACGTGAGGCCGCGTTCACCACTGTCTCGCTGCGCAGGCGCGCCTGCTTGGCCAGCGCGCAGAACAGTGAGTCTTCATTGTGCACCAGCTCCTCTGGGGGCGCATACTCAACCAGCCTATTGGCGTCAAGACGAAAAGGGGCGAAGGAGGGGATTGGGGATGATGAGATGGTTGGTGAGGTGGTTGGTGTGGCAGTGTGGCAGTGTGGCAGTGTGGCAGAGGCAGACACAGCCAGAGACAGAGGCAGACACAGCCAGAGACAGAAACAGACAGAAATGCAAACGCACGTGATTACAATCACAAGCACAAACAAACAAACAAACAAATAAGACCAAAAAAACAAATGTGTGAAGCGTACCTGCCGGCATCCATGACCATGATGAGGTCGCAGTCCATGATGGTGTGCAGACGATGGGCAATGGTGAGCACTGTGCAGTCGCGGAATTGCGTGCGGATCGTCTCCTGAATGAGGCGATCTGTCTCCGTGTCCACGTTTGCTGTTGCCTCGTCCATCACAAGCACCCGACTATTCAGTGCAAAGGACAGGGAAGAGTGGCATTCATCGTGAGCAAGAGAGGGCGGGCAACAGGGAGTTCGGAGAAGCGTAGACAGTTCACACGCACAAACAGAGCAACACCACCACAACCCACCTTGACTGCAGGATGGCGCGCGCCATGCACACGAGCTGCCGCTGCCCGACGCTGAAGTTACCGCCGGCCTCACTCATCTCCTCCTCCAGCCCACCAGGTAGCGCCGTGACGGCGCGATCAAGCTGTACCAGCCGCAGCGCATTCCACAGCGCAGCGTCGTCGTGCTCGGAAAAGGGGTCCAGGTTGTACCGGACAGAGCCGGAAAAGAGGACCGGGTCCTGCGGAATCACGCCAATCTTGCGGCGTAGCACGTGCAGGGGCAGCTGGCTGCTCGGCACGTCGTCAATCAGAATGTCGCCCGTTGTTGGTGCGAGGCGGAACAAGGCAGCGAGGAGACTCGACTTGCCCGCGCCCGTGCGACCAACAATGCCAACCTTCGCACCCGGTGGCACGACGCAGCTCACGCCATCGAGCCGCAGTGGCGTGTCTGGCGCGTAGCGGAGCGACAGGTCAACAAACTCAAGCTTGCCATCCGCCGGCCACGATGTCGGGCTGCACTTTGCAATGAGGTTGCTGTCAACGCTCTCTTCCGTGGGCGATCCAACAAACTCTTCCTCCGTCTGCAACTTGCTGTACTCCACAATCCGCTCGACAGACGTCATCTGGTTCTCAACCTCGGCACCCTGTCATGACATGGGGGAGGGGGGAGGGGGTGGAGGTGGGGTGGCGAATTTGTGCATTTGCGCATTGTGTGTGAGGGAGCATATTCGTGGGGGAGGGCAAAGAGTGTCGGTGAACACGTGCGTGTGTGCGTGCGCGTGTGTTTGGGTCACATGCGGCGGCGTTGAGGTAGAACAACGATGAAATCGCACGCGTCTTCAATCACACCGTATTGTATAACATGACCACCACAACACAATTAAGGACGTGCACCACAGGACTATTGACACATGAACATCGTCACAACATATTGCACGCAAAGACCACCCCAACACCATCAAGGACGTGCACCATCCCAATTTCTTGAACAACAACCACATGCAACTCGCTCTTCCCCGCCACATGCACTCGCCAATGTGGGTCTCACCTGGCGCACGACCCACTGGAAGCAGCCCGTGAGCTGCAGCACGTATGTGATGGCCAGACCAACTTCACCCGCGCCAAGGCGGTCGCGAAGTGCAAGGCAGCCAAACAGCGTGGCAGACGTGAAGATGAATGTCATGGCATCCAGCCGAACACCAAGCCAGCGCGACACCATCACAAACGCCATAAACGCCCGGCCGTGGTCGTTCTGGTAGCGCTCAAACGTGCGCGTGAAGGGCTGCATGGCGTCCTGGCTGCGCAGGGTGGGCAGGCCGGCGAGGGAGGTGGAGAAGTGGGAGTACACGGGCGAGCGGTTGATGGCCTCAATGCGCTTCATCTCACGCGCCGTCTTGAGAAAGTAGCGCTGCAGGAGATTGAATCCAATTGCCAGCGGCAGCACCGTGATGAAGAGAAACGGGTTGATGGAGCACACCAGCAGCACAATGCCCATCACGAAAAACACGTTCTGCAGGAAATCGCAGAACGTCCACGGCAGCAGGTCGTCGAGGAAGCCCATGTCCTGTGGTCGCGTGTGCATATTGTGTGTGTGTGTGTATGTGTGAGTGTGTGTGCGCACGCGTGTGTGTTTGCGAACGGATGTAACGGTGTGAGAGGGGGTGTGTGTGTGTGACAGAGAGAGAGAGAGAGACAGACAGAGAGAGAGTGTGTGTGTGTGTATATGTGTGCAAGAAAGACCGCTCACAACTTAATCACGCTGCGGGAGCACAGCGCCACGAAAAGCACGAGCCCCATCCATGCCATGCCAAGAGCACGGGCACACGTATTCCGAGTGCAGTACATCACCTTTGAAAAGCGGTTGAGAATACGACCGACGGGGTTGGTGTCGAAGAAGCGGATGCTCGTGGCAACCACTGCTTTGAACGCAGTGTCGTTCAGCACCGCAGACGCCTGCAGATGCGCGCGTATGTGTACGCGTGAACGTGAGTTTACGTGTTGTATAAAAGCAAGCAATACACACGTGTAACGGCAACAGCACCGATCAACCCAATCATATCACCCTACACATCCACACGCACAAACACACACACACGCACAAACACACACACACACACGTACACACGCACACACACACACACACACAAGTACACACAAGTACACACACACACACACACACACACACACAAACAAACACGCCCCCCCCCCACACACACACACAGACACCGGACATTGCAGACGTACGCGAGCAGCGCCCATCATGAAGGTGATGGCGCGACCAAAGCAGGTGATGACAAACAACGCGACGAGGATGCCGTAAATAATGAGATTGCGGTCCTTGTTGCGCTCCGCTTCATCAAGCTCAACCCAATACGACAGGAACCAGTCTGCACTCAGCTGCAGCGCCTGTGCACCCGCGCACAGCAGCAGCCACAGCGCGGCAATGAACAGGGCGGGCACGGCTGCACGAGCATACGACATGTATGTGCTAAAGCCAACAACACCCTCCTGCCTGTGCTCCTTCTCCACAAGACTGTTGCTGCTGCCATCATCATAGCCGCCCTCTTCCTCGTGTCCGTGGTGCTGGTGGTGTGCCTCCTGTGCATGAGTTGGCGTGTGTGTATGAGACAGTTTGCGTGTGTGTGAGTGTGTGTGTGTGAGTGAGTGTGTGTGTGTGTGAGCGTGGGAGGGGAAACAAATACATGCGAGTCGTTTGCACATGCCATAACAGTCCCCTCCGCAAGCCCAACGTTCTAAACAGCAAACATCCCTCACCCAAAACACACCCACGAACACATCCACGCGCGCACACACACACACATCCTCGATACATGCCGCACCTCTGTGTCGTGGTCAATCTGCTTGAGGACGTTTGCGAGGCCAATGTCCTCTGCCATCAGGTCGTCGTACGTGCCGCGCGCCAACACATCTCCGCCCTCTCCAAGCACAATGAGCTCGTCGGCCTGCCGCAGGAACTGCAACTGGTGCGTGACCAGGATGACGACTTTGTTCCGCAGCGCGCCACGGATGCAGCCCTCAAACAGCTGCCGCCCAACCTGGTGCCATGTTGGCAACGATGCCGTGGTGGCGAGAAGGTGGCGAGGATTCGTGAGTTGAAACCAGAGTGGTCCAGAGTGACAAGGAAGGCAAATGACAAAGCAGAAACACAGGCAGAGAGGTACACAGGAATGTACATAGAGATGCACACACACATACACACACACAACACACATACATACACACACAACACACACACACCAACCTTTGCGTCCACGGCCGAGAGCGGGTCGTCGAGAAGGTAGATGTCTGCGTCTGCGTAGACGGCGCGCGCGAGGGAGATGCGGGCCTTTTGTCCACCCGAGAGCGTGACACCGCGCTCGCCAATGTCCGTCGAAGCGCCATCGGGCATCATCCGAAGGTCCGTGGTCAGCTGACACGTGTTCACGACACGCGAAAAACGCTCCTATTTGGCGGTGGTAAATGTGTGTGCACGTGTGAACGTGTGTGAATGCATGGGAGAAAGGTGTGTGTACGTGTGTGAATGCAAGCCGTTCCTATGACATGTGCACTGACGCGCAATGCATAGGCAAGGCGCAATTCCATGGCAGCAACGCAACACGAACAACGACAGAACACGAGAACGCCAGCATCAGTATCACCACCATCAGGAGTGTGCAGACCTGGTCGTACTCGCGACCAAAGATGATGTTGTCGCGGATGGTGGCGTTGAGGATCCACGGCTCCTGCGACGCAAACCCCGTGCTGCCACACGCGTGCACCTGTCATCGACACGACGGGGAGAGGGGTGGAGAGAGAGAGAGAGAGGAAAGATGATTGTGAGCAAGGGAGGAAGCAGTGTCACGGCAGCAACCCTCGCCCTCCTCTTCTCATACGCATTTCTCGTCTTGGCTCAGTTGCGTCACATCACGTAGATACACAAACACACACACACGCGCGCACACACACACACACACACACACGCACACACGCACACACACGCACACACACGCACACAACAACAACAACAACAACAACAACAACAACAACAACAACAACAACAACAACAACAACAACAACAACAACAACAACAACAACAACAACAACAACAACAACAACAACAACAACAACAACAACACAGTGTCAACTCACAGCGCCCTGGAAAGGGTCGAGCTCGCCGAGAATGGACATGAGCAGTGACGACTTGCCGCTGCCCACTGGACCAACGACTGAAATCAGTTTCCCAGGCGTGGCCGTCAGTGAAACATCGCGAAGCGTCATGGTCTCCGTCCACCTGTTGTTGTTGTTGTTGTTGTTGTTGTTGTTGTTGTGGGAACAGGAAGGAGAGAGACGCGGGGCAGTTGGAAGTCGCGCAGTGCGTGTGTGTGAATGTGTGATTGGTGATGTGACGAGAGGACAGTGTGTGAGCCAATGTGTAGAGGCAGTCGGCGTCAAGAGGTGTGTGTGTGTGTGTGTGTGTGTGTGCAGTCTTGGTTGGACTCAGCATGATGCGACACCCACTTTGCAGAGAGGTTGTTGACGTGCACAAAGGCACGATGCTTGGCAGCAATTTCCCGCAGTTGGGTCTCCTCATCCCTGCGCGTTACACAAACCGAACAAGCAGGCGACGAGGTGGGTGAGTGTATGCGAATGGAGACGAAGGTGGAACTGCCAGGCACCATCGGCCATGATGCACATCCCTGTGCACTCAGACACAACAACACAAACACAACACAACACAAACACAACACATGCACATACACACAACCACAACCACAAACGCACTGGGTGATGGTGTGGTCCGGGGCGGTGTACGATCGGAGGTTTTCTTGGATGTGCGCCGTGTCCGTGAGAGCAACGTGCTCGCGGAGACGCAGAAACCGCTCAAAGCGCTCAAAGCTCACGCCAAGCTCCGAAATCAGCTGGATGGAGTTGGGGAAGAAGAAGGAGATGTTCAGGCGGATGGCCTGGAACATCGCAATCGTGCTGAACACCTGTACCAGCAACAGACGTGAGAGGAGGAGAAGGTGGTTGTGGTGGTGGCGGTGTCACATGTGGTGGTGGTTGTGGGGGGGGGGGGGTGGGATGGGTGGATGGGGTGAGGTTTGATGAAGCAGCGAAGCGCTGTTGTGAAGAAGCACCGTCACACGAAGAGATTTTCGTTGAAGGTACATGCACAAGTGCACGCATCACACACACACACACACACACACAGCGCACATGCACATCACCTTCTCTGCGGTGAGCCCGCCCTTGACGGTCTGGTAGGTGACAAAGGAGAGGAACGAGGTGAGCACGGCCGACACGCCGAAAAACGCCATGTTGGACCCGCGGATGATGTTCGTGCGCTTGATGGCACGCAGCTCCTGTTCACGGGCATGGTGACGGTGGTGGTTATGGTGATGAGGATGCGATGGCGTGGGCAAGCAATGTTAGTTGAAGTATAACCCGTCTTCGACACACACACACAGACACACACACAGACACACACACAGACACACAGACACACACTGCACCTTGTCTCTGATGTTCTGGACGATGCGACGGAACGGTTCCTCCCATCCGTACATCTTCAGTACGCGCATGCCCGTCAGCACCTGCGGCGATGGGCAACGCGCAGTGGTGTGATGCGAAGTGAGGATGCAGTGAATGCACACAAGCTACACACACACACACACACACACTCACACGAAATTACACACCACACCACACCACACCACACGCAACACCGCACGGAAGCCTCACCTCGTTGATGACTTTGACACGTTCATCTGTGAGAACAGCGGCGCTGTGACGGAGGGACGCAAACACCTTTGAGTTCAACGATGGAACACGCGAGCACGCGGGATGAGGTGTGAGACGTGAAGGGTGGAGGGGGGTGTGCGGAACAAGCGCAAGACGTGGGCATGGGTACAATAGGGCAAACGCTGTGTATGTGTGCAAAGTACGTGTGTGTGCGAAGTACGTGTGTGTGTGCGAAGTACGTGTGTGGTGTCTGTAAATGTGAGCATGTGTGTGCGTGTGTGCGTGTGTGCATTGACGGTGTACCTTGCCGAGAAAGTAGTTGAGGGGAAGGAGGAGGATGTAGAGACCGACACCCGTCAGCGTGATGGCGCCAAGCTGCTGCCACACGAAATAGCTCGCAATCATCGTCTGACACGCGGCGTGCATGGGCGTATGTACATGTGTGGGTGAGCATGATGGAAAAACCCCCTGTGTCCGTACACGTGCGCATGCAAGTAAAGATACGCTGCTTGCCCGCGTGCGTGTACATGTGTTCGTGTACGTGGATATGTGTTCATGTGCACGTGGTTGCGTGTGTGTGGTGCACCTGGATGGGTCCGAGGTAGAAGTATGGCCCCATGACAGAAAAGAGGATGAAGCGCTCTACGTCGTTGGAAACGAGGTTCACCACGTGGCCCGTCGACATCTGCGTAAACGAATGCCTGCACAATGTGGGGAGCGAAGGCGGGGGGCGGGGCGTTGGTTGGTTGGTGAGAAGATTGAGGGTGTGGTTGGCGATATGATGATAGCGACACCATGTACACAGCCACACGGAGGCATGAACACCCATACACACACCCTAACACAGAAACACAGACATACAGACATACACCCACACCCACACCCACACCCCCACCCACACCCACCCACCCACACCCACCCACACACACACACACACACACACACACACACACACACACACACACACACACACACACACACACACACACACACACAAACGATTGTTTGTTGATGCGCTATGTCGTGCGATCGATGACACCCATCCTGCCAGCAGTGAGCTGATACCCCCCCCCCCCGGACAAGACACAGAATGATGCTGCGGCCCTTGTGCGCGTGTGGAGCTTGGTACGTGTGTACGAGTGTGTGTTCGCGGTCGTGTGTGACTGTGAGAGACCTCAGTGCGACATACTATGATGCTCAAAGATGAGATGACAGATGCAGTGGAAGTTACTCATGCGTACGTACGCGCTCAGTTCAGGCACACGCACACTGTCGCACATGCACGTGC